TGCGGATAATTAGCGGATAATTCCTGGATCATTAGAGCCTTTTCTGCGGCGCGGCGGTGAAAGTGAGGGAAGCAGGCTCGGATCAAAGGGAAATCTGTCGGGATGTGTTCAGGTTCACGGAGCTGCTGCGGAGGTTAAGGCCGACAGCGAGCCGTGAAATCCGGCGAGGCCGCGCGGAGCGGAGCCTCTTCCCCCGTAGCGGAGCCTCTTCCCCCGTAGCGGAGCCTCTTCCCCCGGAGCGGAGGCAAGCGGAGTCGACAGACAGTATTAAAGATATATAGCTAAATAATTAGCTGGATAAATAAGTAAGCAAAAAGGCAAATACCTCTCTAGAAATTAATAATTGTTTTTTTTTATTACAAATAACAATTAATTGTTTTTGAGAACCTAATGCATAAAAACTTCATCATGAACAATGGAAATAATCCCAGTGGATTCTCCCATCAGGAACAACATGCTAACGTTAGCCTAGTTAGCATAGAGCGGCTCGGACTTTGAACGGCTCCTGATTCATCGTCATTCAGGCCGAGCAACTCGGTTGATCCCTGGCCTCCTCCGTCCTCTCTCCATCCTCTATCCTCCATCCTCCATCCTCCATCCTCTATCCTCGGCCCCAGGATCCTGGAGCTGAATTCACCCTGAGATCCAGACATGAAAAACTACATTTCCATGGAGTTTGGTATTAATCGATGTTTGTGTTCAACATTAACTTCTGAAAGCATTTTTACATTTTCAAATTTTAACACTTTTACATTTTTACATTTTAAAATTTTAACACGTTTGCATTTTTACATTCTACCACCATTAAATTGTTTTGGTGAGAAAAATTGTTCAAATATTCTCATCTGCTGTGTGATTTGCACTAATAGTGCAGCTTTGCTAATTTTTTCTTATATTATTATGAACTCATGTAAACCAAAGAAATGTGAAAGTTTGTGTTAAAGCAAAACTTTATGATTCGATCTAGTGTCTAGTTTTTTAACATGGCTCTATAACCTAAACTTTTCTATTGATTATTATCATGTGAAGACAGTGGAGGTTACAGGATGTTTATGCAGAATAAAACAAAACAAAAATGAAGTGTTTGTGGGGTTTTTTCAGGACAAAATAATTTTATTTAAACTGATCAAAACAAATCAAAAGAATATATATATATATATTCCTTTTGTCATATATATATATATATATATATATATATATATATATATATATATATATATATATATATATATATATATATATATATATATATGATCCAGAGGAGGCGGGCTCGTTGTCCTGGTTGCAACAACATGGAGATTGAACCCAAACTTGCTTACAGCTGCTGCACATCTTTCTGTCTTTTCTTGTTGTCAAGGAAACGGTTTTTTGCACGCCATCATTTAAATAGATTTAAATGTTTTCATCAAAAGTCAGTTCCTTTTTTCCTTTTGTTTCTTCTTAACATAAAGAACAAAACGTGGGACCAAATGTGATCCTATCATAAGTTGGACTTTCTCTCATTTGACTCAGTAAGTTTGTTTTAAACGCTTTCTAATGAAGTATGCATTCGTTGTTAAAACATTTCAATTCAAATCTGTTACAGATCCTGAAACAGGATTTTTATTATTGTTTTTTTTTACTGTGTAATTTCTGTGCATGAGCACTGAATAATTTACGACACAGTAAAAATATCAAATCAAGTGTTTAAAATACAAATCACTGTCTATCTCTTGAAAAAATCTAAATGTTTCATTTTTCTGTTTGTTTTTTTTTTTTTTTTGCTGAAATCTCTTTTTTAACCCAATGAGAACCAAAATCAAATGAGTCAACCTGAAGTTTCATGGACTTAGATTCTATATTTCAATTTGATTTTTTTGCAGTCCAATAACAACAGATATTATTTGAAAGAACTTTTCAAGGATAAACATGTCCAATTCATGTGGAATTACCCAGAATTCAATTTGGTCCAAATTCGGTGAAAACTATTCTCATCTTCCTGTCTGTGTGACGGCTGGTTGAGGCAGAATGTCTTGAAACAGTGAAGATATTATAACATTCTGTGCTCTAATGAAATGATGTTTAACAGCTTTTTTTTTTTACAATGATGTCATTTGGCACTGACTTATAAAAAATATTGAATCACAGAAGTACTGTCTTAAGGTTCAGTTTGTGCGGCCCTCTCGGGGGTCACAGAGGGCCGGATTTGGCCCACTAGCCTTGAGTTTGACACGTGGCTTAGATGAATTCTAGCCAAGAGGAAACAACCATGTCACACATTTCATTCATCATGTAAAGCTTGATAGGAACAGAACCTATTTAAATGGGATGAAATTTGGCTCTCGGAACTGAACTCGACTGAATTAAAATAGATTTATTTTAAAATCTATTTTATCAACCGATCAGTTTGGACATAAAACCAGAGGAAAGCTCTTATATGAAGGTCTAATTAAAGTAACTCAAAGTTTCTACGTATCAAACCAGCCTCCCAACTCATCAGCCTGAACTGACAAAACAAAAAGATTTGCACATTCAAACTGACCTTCAGCAATCATCAGCCAAAAAGCAAATATTTCTTGTGTTCGTCGGTTTTATTTGAAAATGACAGAATAAGTTAAGAACATGCATGCAGAATCAAAACCAACAAAGACCAAAAACACAACAAGGAGGCGCAGCAGGAAGGGAGGGCAGGATGACAAACAGGGCTTCTTCTCTTCCAGAAAGAAAATAACAATCCAAACGAAGAAGAGAACGACACGCGCTCCGTTCATGCAGACGGGAAGAATGACCTGGCCTGGAACAGGAAGTGATCGCGTTGAGTCATCAAACATCGATTCAGGATCAGAGTGATCAGAAAGTTGCTCCCTAACCAACCTCCAGCGGAGCAGAGCGTGCAGCGCGGCGTGTTCCTCTGATGAGCCTCAAGGGTCAGAGGTCACACCAGAACACCTGAACATGCAACACCATGTAGCGAACGCCAGTGTGTGTGTGTGTGTGTGTGTGTGTGTGTGTGTGTGTGTGTGTTTTGACATTGCAGCTGGGAGGATTTTTTCGGCTGGTGAGACGGCTGGAGCGCTGCCACGGTTCTGCTGGCTCTGCTGCGGCGTGCGCTGATGCAGGGCTGTGGGATTAGTCTCTGCTTTGGGTCAGAGACACAAAACAACAGAAAAAACTAAACGTCTTTATAAATGGGAAAATAATCTGGAAGCAAAGTCTTTGCTTCTGTATGGACGCCATGGAAATGAATGCATGAGGTCCACCTGAACTATGAGTACTGCTGTCATTTACTCGCTTAAATAATACTAATTTACAAAAAAAAATATGCAATATAATTTCATCTATTTTACACGTGTCTGTTGCCTAACTAAGCGATGACTTTCATTCTCTAAGGGGAGACATTTGCAGAGTATGTGAATACTCTGCATAAACTCTTCAGATCCACTTCTTCCAGTGACTGAGCTTCATGACTGATTTGATGAACAGAAATCTAATTGGTTTTTGATTCTTTCTGCTGATCAAGTTGAAGTTCTGGTCAGGCAGGGACACAAATGAGACATTTTTCATGTTGTGTGACTGAAGTCTGTTTCAGTTCGTCTTAACGAGATCAGGTCATGTTCAACTACAGAGAGAGAGAGAGAGCTTGTTATTGATCAGCCATCCTCATCATTTCTATAGATCCCTCCCCCTGATCCCCTCCGTCTTTTATTTTACACAAATCGACCCCTTAAATAAAACACCATTCATGTGTCCAGACTGAGGGCCGCGACCCCTCAGGAGGTCACCAGAGATCCAAAGGAGGTCGTGGGAGAAATAAATCCTCATCATGCTCTACAGAGAAATATGGTTTCTGATCTTGGTTCTTGATCTGTTCTGTAAACACCAGCACAATAGGCACATTATCATATCCAGGTGACCTCTGACCTCAGACGGGTTGAACACCACCGGGACAGAATGTGGATGATTTGGTGCATTCTGGACGGGCAGAACTGAAGGCTCGGAGGTTTTAGTTTAACTTGCTTTTCAGCCTCGCTCATCAGCTTCCACCTTAGTGATGCACTAATTCTTAAAAAATGTGTTGTTTAGGTTTGTACCGTGTGCCACTGAGCACAAGCTGCAGTAATTCAGTGAAAATGAACATAATGTTTCTGGGATTTTGTCAACATTTTGTGACAACAGGTGTAACCTTTCTGACCCAGTCATGTGGTACTATCAACAATAAACCAAAATAAAGAGATGCCATTCTGTATCATCATGTTGTCCATAAAGAAATACATCATATCTGTCAGTCTTACACCAACACTTGAATTAAGGAGCAAGGAAGACGTCTGATAATCTATCTTAGAAGTTCTGCAAAATTTGACTGTTTAACAAAAGAAAAAAAAAAAAGATCAAAAGATAGTTTACCTATTTGAATGATTCTACTGTGAGGGGAATGATGGTGCCTCAACCAGATCAAACATTCCAGTGCTGATTTCATCTTGTGCCCCTTAAATGTCACTCCAGAAATTAATACATGCAAGTCTATGGATCTCTGAGGACACCTGTGTCCTCGTGGCAGGTAAGGGGTTAACCAATCCAGAAGTTATGTTTTTGAAAAAACAGCATGCCCCAAACCAGACTAAAGCATTTCAAGCAACAACAACCTCACTAAAGGTCAAAATGTTTGGAATTATGCGACAGAAACGATCCATCGGTGCGATAGTCCAAATTCCGCAACACCAACATTCCTCCAGATCCTGAGCTCACAGATCTTGGCCAGTTTTGGAGGCATAAATGTGACCAATGAGATCCTGCATTGATGTTTTTAGACCTGAAGGTATCTTAAAAGCATGAAAGAAGACCACAGACCCGGGGTCAGTTTTCATTTGCTGAGGATTCATATGTCAGTGTCAAAGGTTTGGTCACAGTGCGGGGAGTTCTTTTTAGCTTACAGGTCAGTATCAACAATATCAGACAGGAAGTACAGGACAGCTGCATGCAGAAGGTCCAAGTCCAGACAGGAAGTGTGCGCCATGCAGCGGCTATGATGAGCTGTTCAGGAGCGGTCTGGGGTACATGCCCTGGTAGTAGGAGGCCTCAAGAGGCTCCATGGTCCTCCCCCCAAGACCGGACGCCCCCCCACCATTGTAAGAAGAGTACTGCAGAGCCTCGTAGGCCTTCAGGTCCAGTTTGTGCTGCTGCTCCGAGGACGACATTAAGTTGTTGATGGAAAACGGGTGGTTGAAAGAGTAGTGGGGGTCTCCTTTTATATGCAGAGGAGTTTCATGGGCCATGGAGTGCGGAGGAAGTGACAAGGAAGACAATAACTGAGAGCTGGATACCTTCAGGTCGGACACCCCGCCAACACCTCCCCTCAGGTCCAGGCTGGCTGGGGAGCCCGTCTGGCTGGAGGAGGCCACAGATGAGTCCAGAAGTCCGGCAGGTTTGGCAGAATCTCCGGCAGGAGAGGTACAACGGCCGCCCCCTGCTCCCATATGCTCCTTCCTCCCGTCTGGTTTCCCCGGAGTCTTCTTCTCGCACTTAAATCTCTTCTGACGTCGCAAGTAACAGCCGTTCTCAAACATGTTGCCTGAGTCTGGGTGCAGGGTCCAGTACGAACCTTTCCCCGGTTTGTCAGGGGAACGGGAAACCTTGACGAAGCAGTCATTGAAGGACAGCGAGTGGCGGATGGAGTTCTGCCAACGCTGTTGGTTTTGACGATAGTAGGGGAACAGGTCCATGATCCACTGGTAGATCTCACTGAGAGTCAGCATCTTACTTGGCGCCTGCTGGATCGCCATAGTGATGAGTGAGATATAGGAGTAGGGGGGTTTTGCGTGAGGGTAGCTCCGTCTGAACGTCTTGTTGTCACGGCTTCGGTTCAGTCCACCACTACCGTACGCCATGCTGGAGCCCATGTTGGGACTCATGCTTCCATACGGGTTCAGACCCAACGAGGCTTGCTGGGCCGACACTGAGTTCATACTGGACGGGCTCAGAGGCCCACCCATGGAAGCCACACCCCCACTTAAGCTTGACATAGGTGCTGGAGCGGAGCCCCCCATCCCTCCTACGGGGGACGGACTGAGACCGGTACCACTGTATGACATGTTGAAGGAGCCCGACGTGGTGCCGCCACTCGACATGTAGCCAGACATGGACGCCATTCCGAGACCAGAACCCATCCCGGTGCCTGCCATTGGAGAGTATACCTGCAGGGAGGACAGAGGACGAGTCATCAGTGGTAGACTCAAGAATCTGTCATGATGGTTTACAGTCAGGTTCAACTAAAGGTCAACGATGAGCATCAATGCTGAAATGCCATCACTTATTTTAAAGTGTATCATAACCTGCTCTCAGGTCGGACCCATCAAAAGCAGAACATTCTAGGCCAGCATGAATTTGCTCAAAAGAAATTAAACCAGGACCATGTGGACCAGATCAAATTTTCCCATTTCAACATTTTCTATGACCCACCACTTACTCCGCTCACACCGAGGGTCCACAGACATCCTTTTATAACTATTTCAAGTTGACCAGACTTTGTCTTTATGTAGCCTAAAAATACATAGAACTTTCTGGGCTCAAAGGTCACGTCCACATTCAGCCTGAGTCTGAATGTGGACTCAGGCTCAGCCCACAACTCAACCCCAATGTAACATCAGAAAACGTCTTTGTGCAAATGTCTCTTCACCTCAAACTTTTCAAACACATTTCCCCTTTGATAACGCAGAAGGCAGCGCTTATCTTTTTTTGTCTACACTCAATTTTAAAAACTCCTTTAAGGAATCAACACTGTGATTGCTCCCTTAGCACAATCACAGCGGTGAGAACTCATCAACATCTCACACACACACACACACACACACACACACACACACACACACACACACACACACACACAAACACACACACACATTGCTGAAGTTCCACCCGCAATCCAAACACAGGCATGTTCAGTTAAGTGGACTGTTTAATTTGTCCTTGCATAATGTCCAGTGTGTCTCCGTGTGCCCCTGTAGTGGACTGTCCCCCATGTCTGGCCTGGTGGGCTCCATCTGTACACCCCCCCCTACTCACCTGGATAAAGATTTAAAAAATAAAGAAAAAGTGAAAGACACAGGAAGTGTATAAGACTGCTGATATTTGATCTCTGAATAGAAACTCAGGTTTATAGTAGCAGAAATATTCACATGTTTAGGAGCATTTTCATTTTCCTTAAGATGTTAACCTGCTGAAAGCATGTCTCTGTTATGTTCTGCATTATTTTCTTGTCGCTTGCTTATTCACATGATACATAATTTGTTCACTTAAATTAGGAAATGTTCAATCATGTACAAAAATCTTGCATAATAAAACACATTTCTCTGATCCTGAGCTTTGGAAATATTGTTGCTGAATTATTTTCAGTGCAGTCAAATCAAATCTGCAATGAATAAAGAGTCATTCTTGGTTTGAGGTCAGTGTGTGAGGGTTGAATGAGTGAATGAATGAATGAATTTGAAGCTAAACATAAATAAATAAATAAAACCGTTCAGATCTTCAGGAATAATGATCAAAACCACATGCAAGGATTAATAATCAATCAATAGAAAATTATTTTTTTTCTCTTCCATATTTAGGATTTCAGTTATTATACGTGAGAAAATAATTTATGACAATAAGCTTTAAATTGTCTCCTAATTTACACTGAAAATAAATAAAATACATTTAATTATTGCACAATTTACTCAAAGAATAATAATTAAACGCAGCCCTGACCATCAATATTATTCTTCTTGTTTTACTTGGTTGATTTTTTTTCTTTGAATGTTTTTGACAAAATAAAATCAAAGCCGCTCTTTTTATATTAAACTCAAACATTTTTCAAATATTCACATTTTTTTCTCTCTGCTTTAAACAAATCTGAACCCGCTTCTATTAACTTCAGTGATTTGCCATTACTTTATAAATCTTAATAGGCTAAATGATTTTTTTTTTTTTTTTTTTTTTACAGAAAAACAAAATGAAATAAAAGCTGCGGGTTTCCTTTTTTGTTTGTTTGTTTTTTCCCGGCAGGACGCGGAGCGGCTGCCCGGCTCCAGCGCCCTGAAAGCGGGCAGAGAGTGACCGACCTCCTCGCTGTAGTATCCGCTCCAGTCCGGAGCTTCGTGGCCTTCCATCTTCACCGTGCCCAGCATGACGGCGGCCCGCAGCCGGAACACGGACCCTGCTGCTCCCGCTCCGGGGTGAACCTGTCCCGCTCCCTGGGTCACAGCCTCCCGGTCCGGATAGAAGCGCCGAGTCGAGCCGAGCCGAGCCGAGCCGAGTCAGGCGGAGAGGAGCGGAGCAGGAGAGAGGAGTGAAGAAGAGCAGGAGGAGGAAGAGGGAGGAGGTGACGGTGACCTGCGGACTGCTGTGGTCCTCCTATAGGTTCAGCCTCCATCACCTCCCTCCTCTCACAACTTCTGCTTTTCTTCATTCGTTGAATTTCACACAGACTGAGCTGCTGATGCGTCTCTGCAGCGGATCATCACTTTTCAGCCACAAAGACCCGAAACTGATGGATCATCAGGAGATGAGAGAGAAAAATGTCTTGATGTAAAATAAACCTGCAGATTATTTCAGATTTACATCAGAGAACGTTCTGACTGACTGACATTTACATTTAGAGTCCATCTTAGAGTGAAGTGTTTATGTTCCCAGTTTATTATTATTATTATTATTATTATTATTATTATTATTATTATTATTATATTATTATTATTATATTATTATTATTATTATTATTATTATTATTATTATTATTATTATTATTATTATTATTATTGTTATTATTATTATTATTATTATTATTATTATATTATTATTATTATTATTATTATTATTATTATTATTATTATTAGTTATAGTTGTTAATTACTTCAGTAAGAATTAAAACAGTCGCAACTAAATAAAATGTTGTTTGATATATTTAACATTTTCCAAGGTCAATCCTGATCAGAGGCCCTAAGCATTTGGGGCCCATTCACTGTGAATTACTGACCTTTTGTTTGCGATTCATCTTTTCTTTTTCTTCATTTCTATTTCATTTTTATTATTACTATTATTATTTTTCTTTCAAAAGCATTTGTAGATCTGGTTTGATAATCAGAGTTGTATGTCTGACTGAAACCAGCTGCAGATTGTGACTTTATGTGGGTCTGTGGTAGAACTTGTCTGTTTGTCCTGATGCATGCGGCCCTCAGCAGTAGCATAGTGCGCTTACGCCTTGGGCCGGCTCACTGCATCGTTACTTTGACTGAGACACGACCTGAAAATATCCAGTCCAATAAATACCAAGATTTTATGTGATTTAAAAAAAAAGAAAAAATCTCAGTTTCACAGTCATTTTTAAAAAGTCACTAAGTTCAAAAATTAAGACAGAGAGAAAAAGTTGCTTTAAAAGTTAAATCTTGATAAAACAGAGATCACTGTAAATAATGATGTTAAGGTTTATTCATGAGTTTAAAACGAATCAACAGCTTGAAGGAACCAATACGCTGCTGCTCAGGGCCCCATGCAGGGCCGGCAGGGGGCCCCTAACAGGACTTGGGCTCTGGCTCTCAGAGCCAATCCTAAAAGTTCCCATTTGAAGTAAAACTCACCAAAAGCTCTTCTAATGTTTCCTGAATTCTCAATAAGGGAAAAACAACAAATGCAACTTGAGACGTTCTCCGTGACATCATCTGAGGTCATGTTGATTTCATAGAGAAAAACAAATCAACATTCATCCAAAGATATCCACTGGAAATGAAACTAACAATGAATGATTATCTCTCATCTGAGGAATTGAAGGAATTTACTGCTAACATGTAAAATCTGCTACAAAATCAAATATTGCCGATCAGAATGAGATGTTTGGTTTTCACCATCAGTCGACCAGAGGAACACATTCTCTCTGTCTCTCTGTCTCTCTGTCTCTCTCTCTTCGTCCTCCAGGTTCCTGAGACAGACTGAAGAAACACAGCTGGAAAACTAAAGATCTGTAAGAATGTTGGAATGTTGATGATGAAGATTATTT